CTTTATTCAGGGGCGCGCCCCTGTTTAAGACTTTATTCAGGGGTGCGCCCCTGTTTAAGGCTTTATTCAGGGGCGCGCCCCTGTTTAAGGCTTTATTCAGGGCGCGCCCTGTTTAAGGCTTTATTCAGGGCGCGCCCCTGTTTAAGGCTTTTTTCAGGGGCGCGCCCCTGTTTAAGGCTTTATTCAGGGGCGCGCCCCTGTTTAAGGCTTTATTCAGTGTAAGCGAGGAAACGAGGAAACAATTTTGAGAAGTTTATGCTTGATGCAAGGGTCAACTCTTATACATGTAGACAACCCTGTTTACTTTTATGTATTTTATTTCTTTGCATTCAGATAGTGAAATGAACATTTACCCACATTTACCCACATATACCAAAATTTACCTGGTAAATATGTGTTATATGCGGGTAAATATAGTACATCAAATTTACCAGGGATTTACACATTTAGGGTAAATTTGGTAAATCCCACTTTTCGTGCAGTGGTTGTTAAAGCCGGGTTCACTCGCAATGTGTTGTCATTCTTATTCAGTATACTATTATTATGCTTTAAAATATTCCTAATGACAGTAACCTCGGGACGTAACCTATATGATGCCGGAATCAGACATCTCATGCTGGTGTTAATTAAATAATCAGTGACACTAGTAACTATTGCAGGGACAGTAGAGTAAATAAGTAGAGGCAGCACCACTTACTATAGATGCTTCGTGGCAAAATCACTTACCCTAATTCGATACCTAGATAGGTTTAAAGTAGCTAGGGAAGCCGATCATGCAGAACTCACAAATTTATCAATAGGGAAAATCAAAACATACAAAAGGGGACATCTCTCAATCTTTAACCCTTAATCGTACAGTATTCCTAATTGATTTCATTATCTATGTATAACTTACATTACCTTATTTCATTGTCATTAACTTATACCGTACATTATTTGATTATCCTTATTGTATTATTTTTATTTTCTATTGTATTATTTCCATTTATTGATTATATTTAATTTTGTATAGTTTAGAGGAGGAGGGCCTAGTATAAGCATTGCATGCTTCTCCCCTCCTCCTGATTCTGTTTTATCCTTGTTTTGTATTATTATTGTCTGTTTTGTTAATGTGGAAACTAATAAATTAAATCAAAATCAAAAAATTTAAAGACATCTAAAAAAACAATTGGAACATAATTTCCTTTCCCCCAGTCTGTCAGGACCAACTTGGGATGGAATCCGGTGCCATACCTGATGGCAGCATCACTGCATCTTCGTTTGCAGGACCAACTCAATTCCACGAGTTCCAACTCGGACGATTAAACACACTTGCTGGTTGGGGCGCCTGGACACCCAAGTACAATGTCATCGGAGAATGGTTACAGGCATGTGTACACTTCGACAGCATGTGCATATTTTGACTATATCTGCCTAGAAAACTAAAAACAAAAGCACGGCAAATGTTGTATTGGTCATTTTGAAAGGGGTTTAGTATTTCCTGTCAACTTCTTAAAAGACAGCTCCATCTTTTGCAACAAGTGGTGCCACATTCGTATTCTGAAATACAGAATGCTTACAACGTACGATCTTTGTGCGATTGCAACTTTACCGCAAGGAGGCCGTACTCACAAGTGCTTCTTCCGCACGGCACGTACGGGGCTCGCGGGTCGATCGTACTCGCACGCACGGGTGGTGAATCCGTAGACAGCACGAAAAAAAAGTTTTACATGCACTTAAAGTTCTACGGCGTGTCTGCGTGCTCCCAAATCCGTAGGATTCCGTACGGAGGCGGTACTCACCACGCACGGATGCCCTACGTTTGCCCACGTTTTTGCACGTAGACAGCACGCAGGAGCACGTACGACGGGTTGTGACCGTAGCTTAACCCAAAATACTATATCTACCTTATCTACGAGTCACTTGAAATGATTCGCAGCTGTCATAATTAATGCGCTTAATTATTTTCAGCTACCGGCGTTAACAATATCTAGATCTCCTTTTTGTCATATTCTAACAAAACTAAACAATTCTGCCTTTTAGGTGGATTTAGGAGAGATTAAGTCCGTCACAGGCACCATTATTCAGGGTCGCGGATTTCTTGAAGATTGGGTGAAGTCGTACTATCTCAAATACAGTGTAAATGGGACTGTCTGGACGACATATGCAGGCAGTGAGGCATCAGATAAGGTAACTTAGATATACAGGCAAGGAAAAATTATTCAACTTTGTCCTACAATAGTAGTTATATAGTCATAACCCATTCAAAATGCCACACTGCATTGGCTCCTATATTTCCCGTTCTATCATCTTCTCACAAAGTTCATTGAACACTGTTTATGTTTTTATGAATATCAAATATTTAGAGATTGTTGGGTTATCAATTAATGGCTAATGTCCCGCTCCGATTCGTATACGGTGTGATAAGTAAGGCCTTGTCAGTTGCCCTAGCAACCGAATGAAACCACCGAGTGAGCGAAGCGGTCATTTAAACAGAACGCGTGTTTGATTTGGGATTACCGGCGGCCATTTATATGTTTCAAGGTTCACTTAGAGGGGGGGGCGTGGTTTATGTTTTCTTTTCTTCTCCTCATATTTCACTTGTGTTGACGGGGGTTTTTATATGTATTCCTTGGAGAATTAGTTTATGTGAAGCCAAAAAAAGCATTTTATTCAACAAAAAGGGGGTTCGAAAAGGTCCTCTGCCCTGCATACTGCAATGGTACGTCAAGTGGTCAATCATCATCATCATTAATCATCCTCCGAGGAGGTGTAGCATACAAAGTTAGATCTCCAGAACTTTCTGTCCTTCATCGGCATCGCAGAGATAAGTTCCAGGCCTTCCAAGCCTGTTTCAGTTTCTTTAAGTTCTTTTAAGTGTTACGTTTAAGTAAGTGGTCAATTGTTCTCATAAATGACCACTTCAGTTATAACATTATTTACCATTTCTCACACTCTCTATGACTTTAACGCATATATCAACATGAAATGTAGACTTTTGATTGGTCGACGTCATCTAGCTATACATGTTGTATAGAACATCTTCAGAAAAGTTCAATATGCCCTTATGTGGCCTTATCTGAATCACCTGTTTCCCTTTCAGGTTTTTCCAGGCAACACGGACCAGAGCACTCCTGTTACTAACCTATTGAACAACCCCATCGCTGCCCGTTATGTGCGCTTCTACCCGCAGTCCTTTAATGGTTACATCGCCATGAGGGTGGAGATTCTAGGCTGCAACACTAACAGTAGGTTTCTGTTTTTGGCTGGATTGGTTAGTGGTTAGAGTCTGGTTTACTTGCCATATTTTGTTACTGTTCCTCAATATATAATACATTTCCAGTGAAATTGATATCGAGACTGAAACTAAAACAGTAGGTTTCCACTGTTGCATTGGTCAGTGTAAAACACTGCACAGCACTAACGGATGAGTTAGGTTTTTCCATTGGTTAGAGTCAGTGTATATTGTATCATTTTTATGAACACATCATATGTATTTCCAGCAACATTGCTATGGAGGCTGAGCCTCGATGATGCCGGGTTGAGTCATCTCACCGTTTCCTGGAGAGTCGAGGGGAGTCTTCCGGTCTCGCGCTACAGTCTCCGCTACCAGCCGGCAGACGGGTCGGGCTCGTACCAGGACCTCTCCCCCGCACCAGGAGCGGACGCCACCTCGGCAACAGTGCAGGGACTGCTGGCCGACACGGAATACACCCTCATGCTGACTTCTTTTGGCGAGGACGACCAACCAAACGGACTTATCAACGGGACATACACCACAGGTGAGAAGATGAAATGATTAACAGGTTTGTGCTATATTGTTCAGGAATCTTCATGGTACACAATGAACTACGAGAACTCAGGATTTGTAAAGTACGATTTGTGTCAAAGTGTTAATATGTTATAACTTGGGATGACTATATGACCTTGTAAAACGCACTGTCTGTCTTTTCTTGGCAAAATCCCAGCTAGTACTGAATATTCTAATTCTTCAAATCTGTGTCGAAGATTTCGGCAAATACGATTAAGATTTTCTGCGTCTTGAGGACATCCAAAACCTACTGTAACATGATTTTATTTTCCCCACAGTCTGCCAGCGTAAGCTTGGGATGGAATCTGGCACCATACCCGATGACAGCATCACTGCATCTGCCGTCTGGAGCAGTACATTGCTACTGCCCCACTTCGCACGGTTAAACCTATTATCTCATTCAGGGGCCTGGGCACCCAGGTTCAGCGGCTTAGGACACTGGCTTCAGGTATGTCTACATTTCATAGACCATCACAATGACAGTTCTGTATGTTCCTTACTGCTACATCACTTTTACGTTTACAAAATTGTAATGTCTTTGATGTAGTTCGAAACTTCATTTACTGTACTCGTAGATTCTCGTAATTGATAGATCACCAACTTGACTTGTTTATGCTCATTTTTCTTTTACCGACTTTGTAATTATGTATGTATTTTGTCATTGTGTTATAGTCTCGTTTTATGTTTTTGAGCAGAAGGCATGCTTTTTGCCTAATACTAAAAAATACATGTGAATAAATGAATAAATAAAATTTATAAGATTTTATAGATCAAAAATATAGATATGCGTATTTGAAAAGGGATGGTTTTCTTTGTGGAAGGCAATCCCTTCTATTGCAGTACTCAAGGCTTCTGAACTTAACTGCCGTATTCCTTTACACGAAGAATACCCGAGTTGCTTTAATTTCACATGAAATGATAAATTTTAGCGTTAATGCCTCAGTGTTATGTCGCCTCATTTCAGCTACCAGCCTCCAAGTATCATTAGCTAGATCTGCTCTTGTGCACTTTGATACATTCTAACCTACGGCAACACCGCCTTATTTTATGGATGACATCCGCGCGCGCATTGATTTTCGCCTGTTCTAAAAAAAAAAAAGATCACGTTCTCCGAGGCTCTATCCTGGCTCTAGGTCTGGGTAGTCCATAGTAGGTAGCGACAATACTGAGCCGTTGGTAACTAACGAGAATCGCACCCAAGCTACTGAAGCTCCACGACTCAATAACTCAGTACATACGTACAGTGCAGATTCATAAATTCCGCAAAAAAACAGCATATGTACCGGCTTGTCGCATATGTCGATATGTATTTCCGCGAATTCACAATACCTGCTTTGTGTATTCCTGTGGTTTAGTAGTATTTTTATTTTTGGCCGGATTTTTTTTATTCGCCCGCGCGCACTAGTTTGGGGGTCTTCAGAGGATGTCATCCATAAAATTAAATCGGTGTGGCCTAAGTCAAAATAACTGTGCTTTTAGGTCGACTTAGGAGAGATGAAACACGTCACAGGCATCATTACTCAGGGTCGCCAACGGGCTGAACAGTGGGTGAGGACATACAAACTCAAGTACAGTGTCGATGGGACTATATGGAAGACATATGCAAGCAGCGATGGTTCAGATAAGGTAACTTACTACACAAAAATCACTAATTCTGCCCTGCATCCTTCCAGATATCTGTTGGTATAGTTATGTATAGTTATATATAGTTATATAGTATATTGTTGGTGTTGTACATATAAGTTAAATGCAACACATCTCGTATCTGTCCAGTTAAAAAAAGTAAGAGAGAGAGAAAAAGACAGGAAGAAGAAATCGTTACTACTATATTGTTATGTTGACACTATATTGGCTATTAGGTTGAGTTGACCCTAAAGGTCGTGACTCTACTAGAGGTCACCTTGTGGGGCGGTCCCTTTGTCCCCCATTGTTGTTGTTCTTGAAAATGTCCTTAATGTAGATATGCGTTTACCTTTCAGGTTTTTACAGGCAACACGGACAGAGACACCCCTATTACAAACCTACTGGACAAACCCGTTGATGTCCGTTATGTGCGCTTCTACCCTCAGTCCTGGCATCTTGATGATAGCCACATGGCCATGAGGGTGGAGATTCTAGGCTGCAGTTCTAACAGTAAGTTTCTGTTGTTGCATTGGTTAAAGTATTATAAACCTGCAGTGTTTTAAATTGTTAATGAATGTACCTTACAATTCCAGTGACATTGATATCGGGACTGAGCCTCGATGATGCCGCGTCTGGTCATCTCACCGTTTCCTGGAGAGTCGTAGGGAATCATCCGGTCTCGCGCTACAGGCTCCGCTACCAGCCGGCAGACGGGTCGGGCTCGTACCAGGAGCTGTGTCCCGCGCCAGACGTAGGAGCCACCTCGGCAACAGTGCAGGGACTGCTGGCCTACACGGAATACACCCTCACGCTGACTTCTTTTGACGAGGACGACCAACCAAACGGAGCTATCAACGGAACATTCACCACAGGTGGGAGGATTACATTGCTAAATCCCTTCTCGTGCGGCGCCCATATATATATATGTATAAGTATGCCACTACAGTGCAACCCTTATAGATCCTTGTACATATACGATTTGTTGGTATTTGTCACATGAACGTATCACACCGCAGTGAAACGCACCGCAGCGCAAAAGAAATCAAGGGTCTATGACCTGATTAAGAAATCAAATGTTTGAAAAATATTGTGTAAAAAATGCCACGGAAAAAACATGATGATAGTTTAATTTTTCTTACATACACTGTATGTAGAGTTATACAATTCATATTTTCTACTTCATGTGCTCAAACATCATTATCTTTCATCAGCATGAAAGTTCATCTGAGTTGGTAAATTACATTATGAAAAACGTAAGCTGTTCTCCAACTCAAAATTTGACTCACCCGAAATTTTCGACTGAATCACTTAGTCTTCCTCAGGACCCCATACACATACCGTTTATAGTAACTAGTAACTAATGGTGACCACCGTTATATACTAACTAATAAGCCAAGAGGCTATCTTCACATCCTAGGATGTGACCGTCATTAGTAACTCAGTTCCTTACTAAGGAAGTTAACGGCCGGACAGTGTTGCACACCCAGTTATATGGGTAATCAGGAGTAAATTTCTTGGCGAGGTCACCCGGTAGATGACCTCTAGTAGGTGTAATGGCCGCCATTTTTGACCTGACTCGGACATTTTTACTAGTATTCAGGATGAAAATAAACACCAAGACTGCTGCCACGAGATGTTTTTAATACTGTTAACGGAGTATTATTATAGCTTAGTTAAAGTACATGTACTTTCATGAGACCATCGACTAATGCGAAACAACGACGGGCAGATTGCATTTCGACTTTTTGGATGGATGTTTGTTTGACCCGATCCCTCGTCTTTTCGCCAACAAATCACGTCCAACTTTGATAAGGCATGTTATATAGGTAGGTATTTCTTGCCTGTTTTCACTGTATATATCGCCGTAGTTTTGAACATCTCAATATTATTTTATTCCTAAGCAGATTCTGTGGCGTAAGCGAGTCAATATTCCATATATTGCCCGG